TTTTTTTACATGAAAACGGCCCAACATATTAACGGGCCACGAACGGGCCGACTGTAACGACGGGCTGAATTTGTCCCACAAGAAGAAAATGACAGTAACGGGCCTTAAGTAACCGAATGCTGGTAATGAGCCCAAGAATAAATGGGCCCTGAGAAGGCCGAAAGATAACTTGGGCTGGAAATGGCCCAATGGAATAATGGGCCGTTAATGGGTATAAAGTGATACACTGTTCATTATGAGCCAGTTTCACCACGGGCCATTAATGGGCCAAGAGTTACAAAGGGCCTCATATGGGCCGAAAGTCGTCATGGGCCATACATGGGCCAGAAGTTAAAACGGGCTAGAATCATATTGGATGGCCCAGATGACGCTACTGGGCCTAATTCGGAGAGGTCGTAACGGGCCCTGGGTTAGCGGGTTGTAAATGGGCTATATGCGAACAGGCCGTTAACAGGCTTTCCGTGGGCCGGCCCGCCACCTTTTGACCAAGTCAAACGGGCCGGCCTTTTCACAGGAATGGGCCTATGTTGGGTCGTGCCACGTGTCGACGTATCATAGGCGCCTTGGGTCCAATGAGTGGACGACATCTGTCCCAACAGTGAGCCCACACGTGTTTCCTCCAGCCAATGATGATTTTACACGTGGAAAATCCCCATTGGTCGGGGCTGTTAACGGGTTATCGGATCCAAAACTGGACCCGATAGCTTAACGGCATTCCGTTACGGTGGATGCCACGTGTCGGTCACGCTTGACGAAAGCACTTCTGTGACACGCGATTTATCGTCATGGAAGTGGACACTTCCGTGATGATAATTTTGGTAATGTCATGGAACACTTCTATGACAGCACAGGTATGACTATCTTGATTCTGTCATAAAATCGTCATGGATGTACATGCATGACAAAAAAACGCGACCTACTATGACAAACACGTATCATCACGAAAGTGTATTTTTTTGTAGTGTCAATTCCAAGAAGGATTTGAACTCACAACCGGGATATATCCCGCTCTTGCCGTCTTCCAAATCACGGTGAGAACTTAGCCTACCTCCAAGAGATATACATTTGCCACCATCTACAACGGCTTCATCCGCGAGACTAAGATCCTTGAACAATGGTGTCTTGTGATCCCGCCAATGCTTCGGCCTCCTTCGCCGTGAACGGGAAAAAGAGATGGATTGGTCCATTGTCTCTTGCACATGATATTTGTCGAGATCACCCACATTGTTGTCATGGAGATCAACTTCGTTGTCATCCTCCTTGTACTCATCATTCTCCTCTTGAAAAGCTTCATGTTGGTTGTTTGAAATCGGGCTCAATGTTGGCCAAAGTTGTTGTGTCAAATTAGGTTCATGGGTGGGGGAGTACTTGCAACCAACGGGGAGGGGTTCTGGTTCAAGTCCAAATGCAAACTAGACTCAACCTTCTTAGAGGCAAATAACTCAAGAGCCTTGTCTAGAGATTCGGCAACCGTCTCCTTGTATGCAACCCAACATTGCTCTGAGTTCACACGCATTGTCTTCCAACGGATGTGCATTCCAAAACCAACATTATGCCTTCCCTCCAACTCAACAACGTCACTTGGGTCCATCTAATTCAAATTCTTCCTCACTTGTTCCAAGACATCCGCATAGCTAGGACTACTCTCAAACACCATGTCAAGCTCATCTAGGTCCGGCTCAACATTGCCTTTCAAAAAGGCCTCTTTATCCACATGATGGACATAAACACATGTTCTTCCCATCCCTAAAATAATCAAAAACACACATATATCCAATAAGTACTTAACCGAATATTTGCACAAAATACATAAGCCCTGACATAGATATGAAACAATAACCCTAGCCCACACTTAACAATAACCACAAACATAACCATATCATAACCCTAACCCTAACCCCAACATAACAACACACATAACCCTAATCCTAGCATAATAAGAAGCCTAACCCTAGCAAATTGGCAAAGAAACATAACATGTTTCAACACAAATTTCCAAATCCAAGACAAAACTAGGGTTTCCCCAAACTAGCACGATTTGAGCAAATGTGGCAATTCCTATGGATGAAAACGAGGGAATCAGAGGTATTTACCTTAACAGAAGGGTTGGCTTCGAAATCCATGGACAAATACTCCAGATTTGCAAGATTTGAGAATGATTTGAGATGGGGAGAGGAGGCGCTTAGCCTCGGGTGTGGGTGGGGGGGTGGGGGCAACCTAAGTGACACACAGACAGTGCAGCGCCTAAGGGTCGAGCGCTGCACTTTACATGTCTGGCGCCTAGCCCTTAGGCGCTGCACATTACATGTGTGGAGTCTATCCTTTAGGCGTTGCACGGATGGATGTGGGGCCGCACCTGGCCCCGGGCTGCCATGCTGGCCCAGCATGTGGCGCCGAAGAGCCAGGCGCTGCACAGTGCAGTGTGGCGCCCGTCTGTCAGGCGCCACACAAAACGGTCAGTTTGTGAAAAAAATTCAAGGACAGTTCAGATCGTGAATTGATTTCGCCAACAGGTCAAATATGTGTTTTTTACCTCCCATGAGTGGTGGCTTTGTTGAGGATATGGTGTAGCAGGTCAATCACGAGGATGAAGAGAAAAGGGGAAAGTGGGTCACCCTATCTGGTGCCACAACCATGCTTGATGGGGTCGTCAGCAATTCCGTTTAGCAAGACTCTCAAGAATGCCGAGGATAGGAGGGCCGAAATCTAGTCTCGAAAGTGAGTAGGGAAGCCAAGATGGCTCAACATCTCCAGCAAGTAGTCCCATCTGATAGAGTCTAATGCCTTCTTAATGTCAAGCTTGAAGAGGAGCATGGTTATTTTTGTGCGGTGAAATCTTCTCGCCGAATATGTCTAATCTATATTTATGGATTCTTACACCCAACTAATTTGATCTAAGCATGCAGCTGGATCAGGTGTGACCAAATATTTTGATTGAGAACTGTTGCCTTCCAGCTTGCAGCTACTGTTGATTGAAGTAGTGGGCGCCTTTTGGCCCCTCAAGGGACCGATTTCCCCCGCTTTAGAAACTTCCATTTTTGGCACTTCTCATTTTCCATAACTTTCCATTTGTTGGCACTTTCAGGTATTATAGTTTCCACCGTAAAATCATTTCCTAGTTTCATGATTGGAAACTTTGGGGATTTCCAAAAAAAGGAAATTATAAACTTTTAGAAAAGAACTTCTAGAAATTTTGAACTTTTAAATTTCTTGGGCAAAACTTCCGTCAGCTTTGCAACACTAGCAAAGAGAACCATTGTTGCGACAGAGAGGGAGCAAAAACAATTTTTTTGAACCTTTCAATTTTCTGAACAAAACTTACATCAACTTTGTAACAACGACAGAAAGAATGCCGCTGCGACAGGGGGATACCCATGAGGAGAGAAAAAGAAGACAAATTTCTCACTGCCTCAAAAGGCCGGGACATAACACCGGTCCACAAGGGATGGCCTTCCGCCACCGATGCCGCTATAGCTATGTGCAGCTCCACCACCACAAAAGGCAGGAAGAAGACCACATTACTACAATACCAACACGAAGACACGCGAAGCCCCACCCAGATCCGAAGGACGCGACATGGCACAAACACCGACTACAATATCCAACACTGACAGCCAAGAGAATGACTGCTCAGTGGGAGATTTGTAGGAAACTGTTTCGTCCTGCCTTCACCACCACTAGAGCTAAAGTCATATACAACCAAAATTCTAACTAAGACACCTAGATTATTGTGCACCCACAGAAACAAGCTTTCATGGTTCCCCTTCCTCTCGCCATCGCCTAGGAAACATTTTCGTCCTGCCTTCGCCTCCACCAAAGCTGAAGTCATGGACAACCAAAATTCTAACTAAGATACCTAGAGTATTGAGCGCCCAGGAAAACAAGCTATCATGGTTCCCCTCCCGCATGGCGTTGCCGAAGCAGGCGACATCGGTGAGGGAACCACAATGACGCTGAAATATGGGTGTGTGCTTGCTCCTCTCATTGGGTCTCCTCTAGCGGTTACACATAGGGTTTGCTTATGTCCAGGTTGATTTTGGTTTTCTTACAATTTTTTTTCAAATAATGGTTTTCATAAATTCAAATCAACCCAGAAAAGAAATTCCAATTTTAATTCAATGAAAAATGTTACTTGCAATTTTCCATACACATTTCTAGAAGAACTGGACGTTGCACTTTTTACTAAACTAAAGTATCGCTTTTCAAAGTTGATTGGGACTTTACAAAAATCTCTTGGCTCAGAATCAGGAAAACCGTCACACATATTCACCGATGTGATTGTTTTTTATTATAAATATAAAAAATATCTTAGTTCGTCTGGCTTCTTTTACATTTGCATGGGTGAACAATTTAGTTAAGAATTATTTAACTCTGGTTCATTAGCGATAATTCATGTTTTCCCTCTAACCACTAGCGGACAAAATTTAGACCCCACAACTCTACGAAGTGCCTTTTGAATTCAACGAACTAGTCAGAATGATACTCTTATTGATAATAAAATACACAAGAAACAAGGTTACGGAATGAGCAACCGGCATTTTTACTTTCAGCCCAAAATGGCAAAACCACTCTTATGTGTTACAGCAAACAAATAGTGAATTGCGCACCAGCTACAGCTTTTCCTTTCGCCCCTCTAATTGCTTGATCAAAAACAGTGTCATGGCTAAAACAGAGGAATCCACAAACAGTGTCATGGCTAAAACAGAGGAATCCACATGGCTAAACAATCAGTTGTACAATATAATTGCAGAAGTTGATTCTTGTCTACAAATTACAGCAAGTGGAGCTTTGATGGAACAGTTTCAGAAGCCACTTCATAGACTCTAGCGTCTAAACATACAGTGAGAGGGAAACATTCCCCAGTTACTTGGTTCCTGACTAGGGCCATCCATCTCTCGTTCGGAAAAAATAAAAAACAGGGCCCATCTTGTTTGATTCTTCATTGTCAGAAATCAACTTATTACAACACAATTGCTTGACGTAATCAGCCCAAATAATGTTTATGACTCACCCTCGCATGCAGGAGAGGTCTGTACATCACTAAACACATTAACAGAGCAGAGCATTCCTCCAGCTTCATCCGCGAACGTTATCCTCCTACGTTTCCTCGGCAATTCTGGATGCGAAGCGGCCTTCTTTCCCTCTAGTGTCTGTCATTAAGATTTTAACAATGTAAGCTGATAGTTCAGAAAACACTTCAATACTGTGTATCAAACAATCTTAAAAGCAGAGATACCAACCAATATTTTACAAAAACGATTGCAATCTTTGTTCATTATTGTCAACCATTTCCTTGTAGTTCTCTCCACCTTTAATGCATCCTCAGATGCTGCTCTCATCTGTGAATGATAATTGTAAGATATCAGTAAAATATCTGATCAGACTAGAGTTGGGCCTCATCTACTCGTCAAGCAGCTGTGAACTTCAGACAGTTCATATAGTATCATAATTCATCGGTAATTCATGATCTTGCAATATCTTAAGCTCTGATAAGCTAAACAAGGCCCACCTAATTCAGAGGAAAAAAGGTAGACTTGCGCTAATTAATGCACAGACAGGAGAAAGCACATATTAAGCAGGAGTGCATCAATAATTGATAAGGCGTGTGATCTTTTCAGTCCAAACAGATGGTTTACATGAGAACCACAAATGTAAATCAATAGTAATTCTGCTGTACAAGAAGAAACTAACTTTATACAGATCATAGCATCAAAGTACTAGTAACACAAGGAGCTTTAGCCTTATATTATGTACTATTATAAACAGAAGCAGCTGACAGAGAAAAAACAGAGGAACGCAGAAGACAAATCTTAAATACATATTTTTGTGCTCCAAATCAACATATGGTGTAACTTACCAAACAACAATTTTTGTGTTATTGTTGTATCATCAATCGGTTGCACAGCAGTAAAATCAAATGAGCACAGGTAACTGTTATATTTAATAATGTCTCACCTCGGCAGTGTTAAAATTAGGAAGCAAAGACTGTGCTTCTGATGACAAATTTTCGTCCACTAAACTTCTCATGTGCTTCAAGCTCCTGATAAGATTTGCTGCAATGCTTTCTATATCATGCATCTGCCTTTGTGAAAACTCAACAGCTTTCTCAGTGTCCAAAAGAACAGATGAACTTGTCAGCTCAGGATATGGGGATTCTGTTGACTTAAGAACTCCTTTCCTTGTAAAGGAGATAGAAGTTCTGCTCTTAAGTTTCCTGTCTCTGGTTAATATAGATCGGTATTGCTTGTTTGTCGTCTGAGGTAATGCTTGACTACTTACATCACAATCTTCAAGATTAATCTTTCTCTCTGAAACGGTAATGGTAACATGAATAATAAGAAATACTATAATAATTAACCACTCTGCTAAAAAAATAAAAACACTACAAGATGGCATAGATTGCTTACCAAGCCTTTGGACTCCACACAAATCGATACCAGCCAAAGCATTGCAAAACTTCTCCTGAGAAGTTGGTGACATAATCTGAAGAAAATAAAAGGATAGTTTAATGAGAAACTTGTTCATAACTATTCTTTGAAACTTGATTGAAAGAGCTATGCAGACCTTTCTCTGGGACAACAGTTTTCTTGGAGTATGATCTTCAATTGATCCTTCGTCAATGAAAAAATCAGACGCCCTAGTTTGCCCATCAGAAATTTCTTGTGTTTCTTCAGGATTAGAGGAGCTATCTGATATTGCATCTCCAGTTTCTCTTGATTCTTGATCATTAACAGATCTACAAATGCCAACATTCATTGTACCACTTAACTGATCAATATCCGTTGATGACCCCTCCATGTTGGCAAGTAAGAGGCAGCCATCATGTGAAACATTTGCTGTGGTTGGTGAGCTCAGAGTCACAACAGTATCTGGAACTCCAACAGAAGTTTTTGTTTCAAAACACTTCCGCTGCACATTATTATTCAGAGCACCATAAACTATATTTTCTAGCCGCCCGTCTTGAGTGTCAAAATTGGCAGTATGAGCCAAATCAAGAGTCTTATCAAAAGCAAAATTGTAGCCTGTGGCTGCTTGTTCAACATTTATATGCAGTAATATATCCTTTGTTTTCACACCATGGCAGACTAGTGAATCTAATTGACCCTCCACCGGCATCTGCACAACCTCCTCATGCGAAGTGCAAATCCTGTCTGTGCTTCCACATAAATCAGGTTGGATGACCACCGATGTGCACCTCACATCTGTGTAATTACTTGTATCATCTAAAGATTTCTGATGGTTGCTCACTTCATCAATGGGACCTAGTGAAGAAAAATTGTTATTAGTCTTTTTTTGTTCCACACTGTCATACAAATGCGCTTTGGCTTCAGAAACATCTGCTTCAGTTGGTTGGGTGATGAAACCAGGCTGCTGTCCACATTCATTATCTTTGATGGGAAACTGATGCAGCACAACAGATGAATGGTCACAGGTGCGTTCTGCAAGTACAGAACAAAAACAATATATATCAATGTTTATGAAAAAGGGATCCAAAAAAGGTTGCTTCAAGAAAAATGTACTAGCTGAAAGACAGAAGTCGCTGTGAGGATTGATCTTCAATATAAGAAAGAACTGGAATATAAGAATTGTATTTTGTTTGGCTAACAATACTCACCAATAGCAATTCTCGAGTGCTCTTGATCTACAGCTCTTCTTTCAAGCTTCTGTGTCACTAAGTCATGCAGCCTTGACTCGAATAGGGAAGTTTGTACAGGACTAATTTCATCTCTCTTTGCTGATGTATCTAGTTTTGTAGCATGTGGAGAAGATGATGCATCCGTCCTTCTTTTCGCCTTAGAAGGGGTTGTCTTTTCTTTCTTCTGTTTCAAAGCAATAAGAGGCTCATCAAGATCAACTTCCTCGTTTGATCTTTCAACCCCAAGACCCCCACACTGAGACTGACCCTTAGTGCCAGATCCTTCAGAAATAGTTTTTGGAGCCTTCTTATTCTTAACTTTCAACGGAGCTCTTCGATCCTTGCGAGGCACACTGAAAAAATCCTCTTCACCGGAACCATCATCAACAGAAGCAACATTAAGTTCCGAGGGTGAAGGAGAGGCAACTTCTTCAGAATCAGTTATCTGAGTCTTGGAATCTTCTTCAGAATCAGTTATCTCAGTCTCGGAATCTTCTTCATAATCATCATTGTATATTACACGGGTGTTCTTGCACCTTTCAGATCTTCTGAGAGTCGAAACTATTTTGTGAGCCAAATCTACAGACATTGTGGCCAGATGACAGTGTACAGATTGAGTGCCTTATTTGTAGCCAAATCTACTCAGAGAAGTGAAGGTTAAAAGGGTCCCTGTAGACATACAAAAAGCAGGTGTTATAGTCAAGTAAATGTCGCGTATAAGCATCAATATCTTCACTAGAAATGAAGTCATCTTTCAAAAACAGACACCGCATTATGATATTCATGCAAGCATCTTTTATGCCTGAAGAAGCACAATGTGTTTGAGAACATTGCAATTAGCTTGTGTGTTCTTCATAAGAGAGCAGAAGAAGAAAAAAGAGCTTAACACAACATAAAAAGAACAGAACATACAAGTAAAATCTTGTACTACTGATAAACTGTGCTTCCAGTGGGAGAGATGAATTGAGAACGTTGAACAGACAGTATGTACAGAAATGTTGCAGCCTTTGACTACTAACAGAAACCACATCCCTGTGGCCGTGAAGAGGGAAGCCCTCAAATTTGTTATCAATAATCACGAATTCCTCAATCAAGCCCCCTGCTCTGAGCTAAGAACTGTGCCCCCAGCGCCTGCTGTCAGGCCTAGGATGCTAGCCAGCAAAAATTACAAGAGTAGTAGCCACGGTAGATTCAGAGTCAACGCAACCCACACACAGATCTACTAGTCCTACAATTCATTTCATCGGCTTGAGATGCGAAAAACAAACACAGATCTGGACCCTGCAGGTACCTGAACCTGAAGACCCCCCGGCCCCGGGTAAATCGAGGAAAAGCCGCGGGACGGTCGGCGTCGAACTCGAAGAGGGCGACCGCCCGCTCCGTCCGGGGAGGCGCTGACCTTGAGAAGGGATGGACTGAAAGACGGAGGGAGCGGCGGCGGCGAGCAGAGATCTCGGCCTCGGAACTGGAACCCTACTCTGCTTCTCGAATCTGGATATTGCCGTATGTATGAGGAGGGGGGTGGATGAGGAGGATTGGCGCGGAGGGGGCAAATTTGACTCTGGATATTGCCGGGCGGGGGAAAGTTGCCGCCAGGGTTGGTATTTGTTGGCGGGAAAGGGGAGCGAAATTTTGTGGCGGCTGGCGGCAGCGCCGCTTGGACGCGGGTTTTTTGGACTTCGGCGGAGGAGAGAGACGTGCGTGGGGTGGGGAGAGGGAGGAGGAGAGCGCCCGCCGGGCTGCACGTCAGCCCAGCTCACTGCTTTTGGGCCGGCCCATTATGGGACGCGTTTAAGGGGCGGTTCTGCATTTGTTTTTATTTTTTCTCCTCTTTTTTTTCTTTTTCGGTTTTCAGTTTTTGTGTTCATGTTTTCCTGGGTTCTCTTTGTTTCTTTCCTGGTTTTATTATAATTTCTTTGGTTTTAACAAGTTTTGTTCTCTTTTCCTTTTTCCTTTTTCCTTTTCTCCGACACATGTCTACGTTTTTCATAAGCATTATATATTTTTTCGTACATGTCAGAAAAATAAATTATGCATGCTTAATTTTGAAAAAAATACATGATTATCATTTTTAAAAACTATATTTTTCATGCCTATAATTTTAATATACATTGTACATTTCTGTACAGGTATAAAACATTTTATATACATTTAACATTTTTTAATACATTACTAACATTCTTCAAGTAATTGTTTTGTATATTTTTTCAATACATGTTAAACATTTTTAAAATACCCGTTCAGAGAAATGTATGATACGAAACATAATTTGAAAACTACGTGAACACTTTTTTACGAGCCATAACAAAAATGAGCGAGCGAGTGACTAGACAAGTGAGGAAGCGACGACAGCGCTAACGGTCCGGCCCATACGCGTGAGCCCTTTAGGTAAGACGGATGCTAGTCTAGCTTGTTTTTTAGTGTCTTGCTGCTATAGGTTTTTTTTAAGACAATCTCGCGAAGCTTTTATTTAAATCGTCACAATATTTACAGGGACGAAAGATAGATCACCTGGGTCGCCCAACCACACACGGCGGCCTACCCCAAGTGAGAGAGCATGCTTCGCTAGATTGTGAGATCGTCAACAACTACCTTGCAGTCTGAGGTTACTGAAACTCTGCGCTCGTAAAGATCGTCCGCCAAGGCTAATGATTCCCGTATTGCCAGCGCCTCCAGCGTCGCAGGGTCATCTATGCCGTGGAAAGTGATTGTGGACGCTCCCAGGAAGATCCCATGTATGTCCCGGCATACTGCTGCCACCGCGCCAACCGGCCTGGTCCTCATAAGCGCGGCATCCGCGTTGATCTTGCAATTCCCCTCTTGCGGCGGTATCCACCTTGCCGGCGAGGCTGAGCCACCCTGGGCTGGCCCTGCGGTTTTGCCACGGCCTGAAGATCGTTGATAAAGGCAGTAATGAAGCCATTAGTTGAATAAGGCGTTTGATGTATCCCCTCGTAGATCAATTTCCTCCTGGAACTCCAGATTGCCCACAGCGTGACCCCGAGTCTGGTGAAGTCCGCATGCGATAACGTGTTGTTCAAAGTAAACAGCCATGTTTTGGCGCAGGCATTATCACATGTGCTCATTTGCTCAACCAAGCCTTCCGGTGCCAAGGACCATACACTTCTCGACGACACACACTCGAGCAAGGCGTGCCTCCAGGAGTCCGTTGCCCCGCACAGCTGGCATGCTGGCGAAGTTGCCATATGGCGGTGGTGTAGGATGTCATATGTGGGGATAGACTCTCTCGCCAAACGCCACAGGAACACACGTATCTTGTTTGGTACTTCTGTCTTCCAGAGGGACGACCAGCTTGTACCTTCATCGTGGTCAGAAGTGCCCTCAGTGCCGTACAGCCAATTCTCGCGGTTGAGCTTTGTGTTTTGTATCATGCGGGATGCAGACCTAGCAGTAAAATTACCTTTCTTTTCTCTACCCCAAGCCCAGAAATCTTCCACTTTTCCTGGTGCACAAAGGTATCTTCAATATGGCCTCTGCATCTATGGGGATGAATATGGACCGAACTGCCTCCTCTTTCCAAGTGGCCGTCGTCGCATCTATAAGTTCATGAACTCTGGTTGGCGGGTTGGCAACCAAGGAAGTGATTGGCCGTGGGACCTCTTGCCTCGGGATCCAGTTGTGTTCCCATATAAGTGTGTGCTCTCCTGTCCCAATTCTTCTAATGACCACTTGCTTCATTATATCCCTTCCGTCCAGTATGGCCCGCCAGATCTGTGAAGGGTGTGATCCCAGTTCAGCCTCCAATAGGCCTCTGTCAGGGAAGTATGCGGCCTTGAGGATTAAGGAGCTTAGGGTTTTTGGATTGTCTAGCAATCTCCATGCTTGCCTGGCCAATAACGCAAGGTTAAAAATCTCAAGGTCGCGGAAGCCCAAGCCTCCCATGTACTTCGGCCTTGCCATGATCTCCCACGATACCCATGCTGGTTTCCGTTTACCTTGCTTGCTACCCCACCAGAATTGTCTTATGATGGACGTAAATCTGTCACATAAACCTCTCGGTAACCTGAAGCACGCCATAGAGTAAACAGGGATAGCCTGAGCAATGGATTTGATTAGGACCTCCTTTCCCGCTGAGGATAGTAGTTTCTCCATCCAACCTTGACCTTCTCCCACACTCGATCTCGAAGGTACTTGAATGTACCGTTTTTTGAGTGGCCCACATCTGTTGGCATCCCCAAATATTTATCACTTAATGATTCTCTATGGACTTGAACGACATTTTTCACACTGTCTCGGGTGGTCTAAGGGCACCCCTTACTGAAGAAGATAGTCGACTTATCATTATTTACTCTTTGTCCAGATGCCCCATAGTAAGCATCCAATAGGTTTGAAACCGCATTTGCCCCCTCCACACTTGCTTTGAAAAACAGCAGGTTGTCATCCGCAAACAAGAGGTGGTTCACAGCCGGGGCTGATGGTGCCACCTTGATGCCTTCTAGTACCGATGACTGAGAACTGGACTTTAAAAGGCACGAAAGGCCCTCCGCTGTAATCAGAAACAAGTAAGGGGAAATCGGATCTCCCTGTCGAATGCCTCTGGAAGGCTTGAACTGCTCTAATCTTTCTCCGTTGAAAAGAACTGAAAATGACACTGAAGATACCATGTTCATCACGATGTCAACCCAGGGTTGTGCAAACCCCAGCTTGGACATTATAGCCCTCAGATATGGCCACTCCAGGCGATCATATGCTTTCATCATGTCAAGCTTTAGGGCGCATGTGCTGTTGGCTTTTGCCCTTAACCTCTTCATAAAATGCAGGCACTCATAGGCGCAAATGATGTTGTCTGTTATTAGCCTGCCTGGAACAAACGTTGACTGCTCCTCATAGATGATGTCAGGAAGTATTTGTTTCAATCTGTTCGCCACAACCTTTGAAGCAATCTTGTATAGGACGTTGCACAAGCTTATTGGTCGAAATTGAGAGAGAAGGGTTGCATTCATTACCTTTGGTATTAACACCAAGACAGTATCATTGATGCTCTCCGCGCTCTCTTCCCCCCTGACAATCCTGAGGACGGCTCGTGTGATCTCCTCCCCGCACATCGACCAGTGTCGTTGGTAAAAATGAGCCGGGAAGCCGTCTGGGCCCGGCGCCTTGGTGGGGAACATTTGGAACAGGGCCACCTTCACCTCTTCATTCGTATAGGGAGCACATTGAAAGATCGAGGATGTCGCCTAGAGGGGGGGTGAATAGGCGCTTTAAAATAATTACGGTTTAGGCTTGAACAAATGCGGAATAAACCTAGCGGTTAATTTGTCAAGCACAAAACCTACAACAACTAGGCTCACCTATGTGCACCAACAACTTATGCTAAGCAAGATAAGCAACTATGTGATAGCAAGATATATGACAAAGAACAATATGGCTATCACAAAGTAAAGTGCATAAGTAAAGGGGCTCGGGTAAGAGATAACCGAGGCACGTGGAGACGACGATGTATCCCGAAGTTCACACCCTTGCGGATGCTAATCTCCGTTTGGAGCGGTGTGGAGGCACAATGCTCCCCAAGAAGCCACTAGGGCCACCGTAATCTCCTCACGCCCTCGCACAATGCAAGATGCCGTG